CCTACAGTAATAAACTAACTCATTGTATTTATAAACTGTACGCTGTGTCCTGCCTTCTGCTGGCCCCGGGCTGTAGAAAGCTCTAGGTGCCAGCAGAGGGCTCGCAGGCTCCCCTGCTCTGCAGGGGAACAAGGCTGCCTTTGTCCGAGGGGGCAGCCCCTGCCAGCCCGCTCTGCAGGGTCTCTCTCCAGCTGTGCTTTGCATCCAGGTGTGACCCAGAAGGAGTGAGGAGTTCTGCCAGCTATTCGAGTCTTGCCATCTGGTCTAATGATACAGCTATCTGACTCCTGAAGACCTCCACTCAAGCGGTTTGCGTGCTGAACCCCATAGAAAACATTCCGCCTCCACCAACAAAGGTGTTGTAATCTCCTCTGCAATATCTGTTGTGAAAGGTTGTGTGGCATAGGCTGGGAGATCTTCTGACAACTTTTCTTGGCCTTAATCCTACCAGTGAAAATGTGATAGAGCCACGTAAGAGCTGCACTAGCTAGGCCTTCTCACGCAATGATGAGATTTACAGGCACAAATCACAGTGCTGAGAGTTTGAGAGCAAGGGACATCCTGTGATCCTGTGAGCTTAGGTACTTCCCATTTAAAGGGAGCCTAAGCATTCTCTGAAGTCTCTGCAGGAACTGCATGGCTGGAAGATCCAGAAGATCCCCGAGTACCTGCTTTTCCGTGGCAGCCTTCACCTTTTGTCCCACCTATTCCTTGGACCTCTGGTCCAGTGTGGGAGGGGAAAGGCATCAAGGAGTAATTTTTTTCACAATACTTTTCTAACGAGCCTTCTGCACACCTTCTAAGCCAATTTCCACCACCCATTCATTATGGCCTTGCTTGTCATTGAGGCCTGTTGCCATTCACTAGAAATCAGAAAGTTGGGTTATCATTCCCAGAATCATCCCTAGCATTTATGTTTATTGGGTGGGCTTTGAGAAAACTGAGCTTGTTCCAAGACATGTTCTTCAGTCCTTACAGAACACAAAGGAGTTGCATGTACTCATTGGTCATAAGGGCAGAGTATATTCCAAGGGTGTCAGAAGCTGGATTTCTTGAGATCAGTGGGGAAGCCAGAGACGTCAGGCTCTATCTGATGGCCCATGCTATTAAATTTAATTTGGGCCCTGCTTCTGCCTCTGCCTCTAATTTAGTGCCTTCCAATCTTCACAGATACTTTTGCCTACAGGATCCTGTAACCATTTTAGCACTTGTGTCAATCTCTGTCATTCAAGCTTTAAAATCTACTTCAAGGGGTTGTCCTGAAATATAAATAATTTTTCATGGCTAAGAAATTTTTATATAAAGATGCTCTGATGAGGGAAATCCAAAAGCAGCTGCTGTGTTGCTTCAGGAAGGGAAAGAGGCTCAGCTGAGTAGAAACAGATGCAGCGATGGAGAGGAAGAAATGCAAAGCACAGGGGTTTTATTTTGGTCCAGAAATTGGCAAAAGATATAAAGGGGTGATTGAAGAGTTCACAGAGCCAGAAACAAAACAGAACAGCCCTGAAATCAGAGGAGAGGAGTTCTGGGAAGTGTGGGCCTATAGGTGTGAAAAATACTTGACTAAATCGGCCCTGGGGGCTGCTTCCCTGACTGGCTCATGTTCACTTGACAGGCTGCAGCCGTCAGAGGCTGGTGCTACTTTCATCCGTCCACTCTCGGCTGTTATTTTCAGGGTCTGTGTTTTAGTCACTCTTGATTTACCCTTTGACTTTTCTGATTGGATTAAGACATCGGTTTAGTGTGAGCAAACAGCTCCTTGCTTGGCAGGCTCTGGCTTGCTATGGACTTTTTATTGCTGATGGGTAAAGCTGAGGGTTTTTGAGAGAAATTTAGGAGCTGAAAGTGGGACTAAAACGCAGCTCAAGACAACAGACTGTTTCTGACTCCAGTTCAGAGTAGGGCTGCCAGGAGGCAAAGGACCCAGAGTGTATTTCTTATTCCTCTCCCATAAATCTAAATATTTTTTCCATGTGTGTGCTCCTTTTTTAGCCACAAGTAAAAACATTTAACTGTTTTCCCTGTTTTCCTAATATATGACAGTGTTTCCTCAACTCCTTATTTTTTTCCTTTACACTCTTTCTGCTTTTTCTGTGATCTAAGCCTGAAACCCACGTTCAATGCCTGTTAGTCACTGGTATCTTCCTCTCTGCTGCCCAGAGACCTTTGGCTGCAGCAGACTGCCATCCAGTACCTCACTCCTTTATCCTGCATTTACAAATTAAAGCTGCCATGGACTGGGATAACACTTTCAGTTACAGATAGCTACAGCTACAGCCCTAAAGTCATACAGACCTAAATACAACATGTAAGTGATATATTTAAATTAGTCTTGAGTAACTTAAGTAATGTTTTACTATCTGCAAATTTTGCTCCCTGCTCTGCTTTTGGCATTATTAATGACAATCCTCTGAGGAAACGCAGTATGCCATGCTAAAAAATTGCCTGTTTATTTCTTTTAATGATCTTTGCTTTTTGACTACTCTTTAATCAATGACAATGATTACCTCTGGATAACTTTGATTTCTTTATAATATTGTGGAGAATTCTATGAAGACTTTTTCAAATCCGGTGAACCTGAAAGTTAATTATTTTCTGTATGCTTTACTGTTATATCCTCAGAGTTCTCAGACGAAGAAGCTGTTGGACCATGACAGCCCTTTTCCTGCTCCATTTCACCTCCGCAGTCTGCACCGCTATCACTCATTGCATTCCTGATACATTTAAACTACAAATTTATTAGAACAAATTCCCCTGTTCTTTCTGTTGTCTCAGTACAGAGCGTACAGTGACTTTGGGTGCCTAACCTGATAATAAATGCTGCCGAAAATCCTCTTTTCTGGCTCTTGCTTCTGAATTAGCCTTTCTTGTTTATTATGTAAAAAGGCTACACTATGATTTTTGTTGTACCATCATAACGAGCATCCCAGGCTAGAGCTTCAGGGGCGAAGCTGTGGGCTGAGGCTGGGAAGAGCAGGAAGGTTTGCAGCTCTGCCCCACGGTGCTTTCAGCAGAGCACATGGGGAAGGCTGCACTGGTTTTGCTTGTCTCCGACTGTGCTCCTGGCCACTCTTCTGGGAGTAGGAAACCCAAGAAGCAAGCTCTGTAAGGACACCCAGCAAGAACCACTTAAGGTGACATTTGCCCAGCTTTTTTTTTGCTTGCATGGGAAATAAGAACATAAAGGCACCAAAACTGAGTGTGTGCCTTTGCTCCTGGCAGTAGTCAGGTGGATTAACTCAGAAGACAGTGTCAGTAACCTCTGATGGCATTCCACGAAGTAAATATAAGCCAGAGCAACTTTTTCAGAGAATTTTTTCATTCTCTGACCCAAGTCTTTGTTTCAGGAGTACAGCAGGCTAAAGACGGCTTGTTGTCCGAAAGGTCGGATTCGTTACCTGGTGTGCAATAGCCAATCTCACGCGCCAGGATGAGACATTGATTATTTATTTTGGATTTGTGCACAAGGCCGGGTGCTCAGTGGTTTCTACTGATCAAGTGCACCCATCAGAACTCTCTGTGCAATTTTTATACACACTTTACAAAACCATTATAATATTAGTACCTGCTACCTATATTTGATTGGTTTGTCATTTACATACGATTACACCACCAAGTTATAGCTATCTCACATGCTCAAGGGAAGGGTCTCCACCCGGGCAAGGGTCTTCTTGACCTATGGGTGTGATTTTTAGTATTTTAATGAAAGGAATTCAGCTTAGGACACTAGGAATCTTCACTTCCCTGCCAAGCTGGCTAAACTTCTCAAAATGTGTAGATTAGCAACATCCTCAACATCCTTATGCTCAATGTGCCTGCTCGAGAATGATACAGTGCTTGCCTCCCTTGATTAGGAGTTCTTTTCATTAACTCATGCTTGATAAATTCAAGGATACAATCCTCATTAGTCGTGAGAATACACATAAGGCCTTTCAACGCTAGTCACTAATAAAATTTCAAGCATATGCTCTGGTAACAAGGTCATTGCTCCCGTTTTTCCAAGTGAACTTTGAGCTGTGCGTTTCATGCTGGACGAGAGCTGAATAACACCAGGATGCAACCAAGTCCACATTTTCAAGCCCGCGCCGAGCAATGTTTGTACAGTTCAGATAACACGGTGATGTTAATTAAATGAACTGCAGATCACAAGTGATCTCCAGGCAGGAATCTGCCAGAGCGGCGTGTTGCTCAATTAACGCTGACTCATTAACTGCAAGTTCCCCGTGAGACTGAAAAACAAACACCACTTTTGGCCGTTTTGTTTCGGTCACACTGGGATGTTGTAATGGTGACTCCACTGGACGTTTCCACCCCGTAGCGGGGCCGTGTCATGAAAAAAAATAAACAGCCCCATATCGGAAAACAACCCAAATGACGCCCCACAGCCGGTTCATCCCCGGCACCTCCACAGACACGCGGCCTCCCCCCGGGACACGGCTCTGCCTCAGCCCGTGTCCCCGCTCATCGCTTTCTGTTCACGCACCGAAGCCTCTCCCGCACCGGGGCGGGGGCGGCTGTGGGGAGGGGGGCTGCGGCCCCTCCGCCGCCCCCACGGACACCGCCTCTGCCCGGCCGCCGCTCCACCGGTACCCGGCCGTGCCCTCCTCCCCCGGGGGGCAGCCGGACGCCCTTCCCGCCCCCGCGGCGGGGCGGAGCGGAGGGCGGGGAAGGCCGGGCCGGGCCGGGGGCGGGGGCGGCGCCTCCCCGCACGGCGGCAGCCAGTGAGCTCGGCGGGGGCGGCCTGGCGGGGTTTTCCCGGCCAGGTGGGTACCGGCGGGGAACGGAGCCGAGCCGAGCCGGGCCGGGGCGAGCGGCCTGCGCTGCCGGCATGGTGCAGCAGGAGCCGGCCGGGGCGGCGGGGGGAGCCGCTCGCCGGCCCGCTGAGGGG